GTCCGTCCCGTCCCGTTCCGTCCCGTCCCGTCCCGTTTGTTAGCGGGACGGGATGGGCCTACCGTTTCATCCCGTTTGTCCCGTCCCATTTCGTCCCGTCCCGCCACCGTCCCGGCTAAATGTCGTCCCGTCCCGTTAATTTTGTCCCGTCCCGTTAATTTTGTCCCGTCCCGTTGGACAGCCATACTGTCAACAGGACAAGGTTGAGCAACAAAAACCCGGAGGACTTTTGGAGCCACTACCAGTTGCAGAACGTCCATGGGAGAGCGTGACTATGGACTTTATCGCCTACCAAAGTCCGACGGTTATGGTACTATTATGGTGGTGGTGGATAGATTTTCCAAATATTCCACCTTCATGCCCGCCTCATCAGGTTGCACTGCCAAGGAAGCCGCCAAACTATTCTTTAAGAACGTATGAAGTATTGGGGCTTACCAAGGCATATTATCAGTGATCGAGACCCCCGTTTTACTGGAAACTTTTGGAGAGAGTTATTCGACATACTTGGCACAAAACTACACTTTTCCACTAGTTTCCACCCACAGACGGATGGACAAACAGAACGGGTCAATGCCTTACTAAAATGCTACTTGAGGCATTATGTAAGCGCGCATCAGAAAGATTGGGCAAGGCTCCTAGACATCGCCCAATTCTCTTATAACTTGCAGCGAAGTGAGTCCACGGGGCAGACACCATTTGAGCTAGCCACAGGCCAACGACCACAAACTCCACATTCATTACCAGCTGCGTTCGAGGGAAAGAGTTTGGGGGCTTATCATATGGCCAAAGGATGGGAGGAGCAGCTTGACACTGCTAAGTCCTACTTGGATAGGGCCACTAAGAAGATGAAGAAGTTTGCGGACTGTAAGGCGCCGTCCCACGAACTATAGAGTTGGGGACATGGTCATGGTGAAGTTTAACCCAAGACAGTTCAAGGCACTATGGGGGATGCATCAGAATCTGATTCGCAAGTGAAAATGTTGGTTTATGTTTAGTTAACAATGGCATGCTGAAAATGTTGGTTTATGTTTANCGCTAAGTCCTACTTGGATAGGGCAGCTAAGAAGATGAAGAAGTTTGCGGACCGTAAGCGGCGTCCCACGGACTATAGAGTTGGGGACATGGTCATGGTGAAGTTTAACCCAAGACAATTCAATGCACTACGGGGCATGCATCAGAGTCTGATTCGCAAGTATGAGGGGCCATTTAAGATCGTTGCCAAGGTAGGCAAGATCTCATACAAGCTTGACATGACATCGTATCTTAAGATCTACCCTGTCTTCAATGCAAGCATGCTTAAGCCATATCATGAAGATAAGGATGATCCGAGTAGGGGCCATTCACATCGAGCGCCTATTACTATCACCGCCTCGCATAATCGGGAGATTGAGTCTATCATAGATTACCAGGCCAGGTGAAAACAAGGGCAAAAGGCCACCGCTATGTTCCTCGTCCATTGGAACGGGCAATAACCGACGAGGCCACGTGGGAACGATATGAAGACTTGTGGCAATTCAAAGATAAGATCCGAGAGTTTATGCAGCAACATTGTGCCGCGGTCGTCGCAATATTAGGTGGGGGAGAATGTGATGACCCACCACGTTATCATGCCACATAAGCTCCATTTGGCATATATTAATGCCATGTGGAAGCTTACATAAGAGGAAGGCTAGCATTTGTGAGAAGATTCTAGAGAAGTATGGACATTTTCTTTGTAAGACCCTAGATCCTTATGGAATTGCTAGGAAAGTCCTTGGAATCTTCTAGGCTTGTAGAAAATTCTAGAGGGTGTACTTATTTGTAAATATGGAAGGACTTGTGGAACAATTATTATTTACACACTAGCCCCTAGGTGATTAGAATAAATAAGGGGGCATTCATTTGTAAATTCACCAAGCAAAACAATCAAGATCTCTCTAATACAAAGCTTCCCTAAACAATTCTCTTATGTTCTTTCCACCATTCTCTTAGCGATCTTGAGTGTAGTAAGGCTGACTTGGCATAGCAAGAACGTGCGCAAGTTGTGCAAGATCGTGAGCGAGTTGTCAAGTGCCGCATGTGTACTTAGTTAACGACTAAGGACGTGACACAGATGGTGTCTTGAACATGGTATTAAAAACATTTGGGAGGAAGCCGATTCTTTACTTATTTTAAATGCTGTCAAGGAAGTCGCAAAACCTTCTTGGCACTATGAACCTACTATTGAAGAGATTAAAGAGTTGATTCAAGGTGTGGCTGATTCTTTAGTGGGGTAGAGCCACCTATTGGACACAGATAAGAAGTTTTTCAGCTTTCACTCACTACCAAGAGAAGCTAGAGAAAAATGATGATAACAGAGCAATACAAACAATGCCAATAATGCTTTATTGTCCCACAACACAGAGAGGAGTTGCAACTGTATGTTTGACAAAGAAGTTAGATAAATGGTTCTGTCTATTCATAACAGTTTCAGCTATAAATTCAAACACATAGCAACACAAAAATGCAAATAATTCTTGTTTTCTTCAAAGAAGGGAGAACAAACTGAAAGTCTTGAGCTTAAAGACACAGCAAAATATGCGAACAGAGCTGAACTAGAATAATTTCTAAATTCCCATTAATTCCAACCCAATGAAAACATATACTAGTATTCTCCACAGCTCACAATAGGGCAAAAGGTTGAAATCTTCAAGGGACACACTGTTACAGAGAAGCCAAAGGTGTGGCTGATTCTTTAGATGGATACAGTCATCTATTGGACCCATAGAAGAAAATTTTCAGCTTTAACTAAACATCAAGAGAAGCTAAGGGTCACTTAAGGGTTGATAAGTGGCAGCCCCTTTCCTCCTGAATTCATAAGAAAGACCAAAGCTTACCTCCAATAATGCAACAAGATGAACTTCCCCCCTAAGATCTTCTGTGAGCTCACATGTCACTTGAGAATAGTCCTCACTTTTACCTTTTTAGTTCTTTGGGAAGCAGTGTACAGGGGAACAACTCTCTCCACACGTTAGAAGCTATTGTTGTAAAGCTCATCAAGCACTGAGGCTAGTTATGTTTCATATTGTAAATCCTTCTATAAAGAAACACTCTTTTTGCTTACACATCAGAGGTTTATATCCTATACTTTTGTCACAGATTGGAGAATCCTCAATCTTTAAATATACCACTAAGGTGGTTCAATTTTATTTTTTTTAAATGAGTGATTTTTCACCTAAAGTACTAAAGATAAGAAATATACTGATATATATCGCCTTCTTCTTCCACTAATAGTTGTTTGATAAAAATGAAGTAACAAGAATAAAGGTCTAACCGAAACTTACTATCGTTTTGTAATTGGCCAGTCAATGACCAACGTCTCAAGCTCCGATGAACTCTGTAGAATGCTGTAAATTTCAGGCAAGTGTTCAAAGGCTGCGATAAGTTTTAAGTATTTCCAGCTTGATGGTGGAGATTGCCATATCCTTTCAGCTCCAGTATGGAAAGCCACTAATAAACCAAATAGATATACCAGAATATGTCAAAACAAGGAAATGCAACACATCCAATAAATGACATGCGAAATGTTGAATAATTCATAAAAACAGCTTGGATTACACGGCAGTGTTTTGCCACAAGCCACATCAAAGTGTTCAAGGTTGGGTTGGAAATCTAGTTTGATTTTTAAACACTTGGAGAAATCCATTCACATGACTTAAAGAGTATAATCACTGTAAATGAATCCAAATTTTAAATGTTTTCTGTGCATTGCAAACTCTTTATTCTCACAGTTCATCATAAAAGATTTTGTTCAATAGCCATTGTCCAGCAAGATTGGCAACGAGATTTTTATTCTTCAGTAATTAAAACTTTAGTTATCAGATTATCCTAAGTAGTGGCATAGTTATTAATGTTACTAAACTGATGAATTAATATCAAAAAGAAAATCAGAATTTTGGATAATCCAGAGTATGAATAAACCTTGATGCACCAGGGACCCAATTCAACATTCTCGACATGGGAAACGCTGAGAAAAAGTTCCTTCAAATATCTACACTCCTTCTCCAACTTCTCTTCTTCATCTTCAAATTCATCAAAATCAACATTTAAATTAAGGACTGCAGTGACAAGTGAAGCCACATTGCTCTGCTGCAAGCGTATCTCATCATATAAGAACCCCGAAAGTACCAAATTTTGAACATAAGGGGCAAATATTTCGAGTGAAGGGATATTTTCATCGTGCCACTAGGTATATTCATTAATTTCATCATTTAATATGATCAACTTTCTCAGCTTCACAGAGCTGATTACCAAACGACGAATGCCCAAAACATTATCCAGTTCCAAGCTCTCCAATTTAGGGCAACCTGATATTATTTTTTCCATGACACAGTCCGTCAATTTCAGGTGCCCAATTGAAAGAGAAACGAGACTGCTCCAGTTCACACTACCAGAAGGGTTTAACCCGCAGTTGCCCAAAACCAAATTCCTTAACGACGTATTCTTATACGCAAACTGAGGAAACTTATACACGTAATCTGGAAAATTGATAATGCAAAATTTAAGTGTAAACTCTTCAACATTAGCAACCTTAGTTGCAAAATGTACCCAAAAATCCACATCTTTAACAAGATACTCTTTGTATTTAACGGGAAACACCCTAAATGCTTTGATTTTCTCGCAGCACCTCCAATAATGAAGCTCTCTATTGATTGAAGCTACGAAAGCAAGAATTTTCTTTTTGGTTCTTTCATCATAGGGGTAATCGAGGACGCCGAAATTGACTGACACTGCAACGGACTTCCAAAGAAACCGCCATCGCTGAGATAATACGCTGGTTCTCACAACTTCTTTTCCCTCCGGCAACATAGAGAGGATGTATAGTAGAATAGCGTCGGGCAAATCACNCGGGGACGCCGAAATTGAGTGAAACTTCAACGGACTCATTTGAGTATTCTTTAAGCTCTGAGAAAATTATATGGAGCCAAGTTTTGTATAGTAAATATGAAGTCTGGTATTTATAAGGTCTTTCACTTTGATAAAAGAGTATGATTCTTTTCTCTTCCTTCTGTGTATTGATTCGGGTTTGATAACCTGAAGTTGGCTTTCATTTTGCTCCTCATTTTATTCCTTTTTGTCGTTTGCATCTTTTGGTTACAAGTTCGTGGATTGATCCCATTTGTGTCATTACAGCTCGTTTATTGTTGCTCGTGGATTGTCATTGCTTGAAAAAGTGTCAAAGAATCCTTCTACAATCATTCTTCATTAGGTTAAGACAACAAATCACCATATCTTTGGAGCTCCTTAGCACAACAGTAAGAGTTGTCTCTTGACTAGGAGGTCAGGGGTTCACGCCCTAGAAACAACCTTTATTTAAATGCAACGTAAGACTGCGTATAATAGACCTAATATGGTTCGGTCCTTTCCGACTTGCTTAGCCTAGTTACCTTGCAAAATAACTATATCTTTACATTTCATTGATTGTTGTAGCTACCTTTTAAGCTTTACTGAAACCAAACATAGAGCCCGTTTGGATTAGTTGATTTGAAACAGCTGATAAGCATTAGGTGCTGAAAAATACTTTTTAGTGCTAAAATTAATTTATTAAATAAACAGTTACGTGTTTGGATACAAGTGCTGAAATTGATAATAAGTTGCTGCACTATTTGATAAAAAAGTGTTGATAAGCTCTTTTTCTATTAAAATGACTTAAATAACCTTAGAACTATTTACATTTATAATGGCATAATTTCTTCAAAATTTTAGATAACAACTATGGTTATATAAGATAACTTTTATGATACGCATATAATCATAAGTTATAACAATTAATAAATTAATAGAAATTTCTCAGTAAAAATTAAACCTAAATAGGACAAAATATTTGAATAGAAACAAAGATTGATACACCAAAATTTTGATGTCATCATTTATTACATACAGTTGAAAGATTAATATACAATCACATAGCTATAAATATGCAATGGAATAGATAATTTGCTTATCTTAAATAGTCAAGGAGAATTGCACACTTGAAGAGTGGGGAGGGGGGATTGAAATAGTACTTGAGGCAGCGAGTATCAATGTAAGAGTTTTGTTCTAAAAAGAATATTTTAAGGATAAAATAGTAAAAATTTTGGTCAAACTTAAAGCGTTTATAAGCTAAAAATTTATAAGCTAAGGATGACCGGCTTATGGCTTTTGCTTATTTTTAACTTATAAGCACTTGGGTTATAAGCACTTTTAACTTTACCAAACGCGTAGATTAATCGAAAAATGCTTATAAGCTAGTTTGACCAGCTTATAAGCTTAGCCAAACAGCTCCATTATACGTAACCAGAAAATTGTCTGGGGCAAATGAACCTTGAATATCAAGCTTTCTACACTAACAGGAATTTGAAGACTTCATATATTTTTTTAAGTATACGAGAAATTTGGGATAAGAGATAACTAAGACTGCAAATACCAAAAACGAGCTTTTTATAAAAAGGAGAAGTCATAAAGATAAGAAACAGGATCATATAAAGAGGTTTTGGTAGTTCATTGATCAATAATCAGTCAATCAACTAAGAGTCTAATCCCAATCCCAATCTAGTTAGGACCAGCCATTTGTATTCATTCCGATGAACGACGGTTCAAATTACAAGTAATAGGAATGGTGTACTCATGGATCAATAGTAGCTCTGAATTGGCGAATGAAGAAAGAATGTGATGAATGTGCACTCAATTTTGCAAGACAACAATGTCATCAATTGGAGGCTTTAAGAATGAGAAATTTGGTGGCAATTTAATAAGAGGCTCATTTCCAGTTAGCCTCTGGAAGGCAAGTCCAAGTGCATACCCGAGCGCTCGCCCAACAGGAACTGCTACAGCATTCCCAACTTGGCAATATCTACACCAAATGAAAAACACGATGAAGAAATACTTGTAAAAGGTATAAGATATAAGGAATAACTTGAGTAGTTTGACTCATATGATCATGTGAATGACATCAAACCAAAATATGTTGGGAGGAATCAATTGCTAATGGTTAACTCTTTACCACTTCTTCATTTTTAATGGTAAATATTGTTTAACTCTTTACCACTTCTTCATTTTTAATGGTAAATATTGTTTAACTCTTTACCACTTTTGAGATGTACATATAAGAGAAGATCTTGGCTGCAATTACTTCAATGAGATCCAATAAATGTGATAAATTACAACAGTGACCAAGTTCATTCCACAATTTAAGGTTAGTGCATTAACAATTTAGTAATAATAATAATTCGCAACACCCCTTCCACGTAGCTACTTTTCCCATTTGAACATCATTCTCTTGTATTTTGGTCTTGTCGAAAGGAGAAAGATTATGCAACACAACTCAAAAAATTGGTTTCAAATATAATACAAATCACAGAGATATTTCTCTCATAGAGACGAACACTACATTTATATATGTTTTCTTTTCATTGCCTTAAGATCTTTAATTAGTAACTGAAATTGACAAGCTAATAAAATTACTTTCATCAGAAAACAAGATACCTTTCCTTGGGAGTGCCAGAAAACCTATAGAAATCTGGAAAACCTTGCAATCTTGCATACTCTCGTATAGTAAGAACACGATCCTGCTCTGGGTGTAAGACCGCCTGAAAAATATTGAAAGCTCAGAAAAGCCTACAAGTTCTATATTGCATATTTTATTGTAAGAATAACACCTAGACTTAAGGGTAAATTTTACAGAGTGGTGGTCCGACCAACTATGTTGTATGGGGCTGAGTGTTGGCCAGTCAAGAACTCCCATGTGCAGAAGATGAGAGTATGAGACGAGGATGTTGAGATGGATGATTGGTTTTACAAGGAGAGATAAGATTAGGAATGAAGTTATTCGAGACAAAGTGGGAGTGGCTTCCGTGGAGGATAAGAAGCAGGAGTCGAGGCTGAGATGGTTCAAGCATGTTAAGAGGAGAAGCATTGATGCTCTTGTTAGGAGGTGCGAGAGGTTGGCCATGGCGGACTTGAGAAGAGGTCGGGTCGAGGTAGGCCAAAGAAGTACTGGGGAGAGATGATTAGGCAGGACATGGCGCTGCTCCACCTTACTAAAGACATGACCCTTGATAGGAAGATGTGGAGGTCGAGGATTAGGGTAGAAGGGTTGTAAGTAGTTGATAGTTTCTCCTTTTCTTACTTGTGGTATTAGTAACACTTATGTCCCTTCATATTCTTAGATTTATATTACGTTTCGTATTTCCTTGTTACAATTTGGTACTGCTAATTCTTTTTCTCCTTTTTTTCTTCTCTATTCCTTTTCTGTTTTTTCCCCTCCCTCTTCTTCTTCTTCTTCTTCTTCTCCCTCTTTTTCTTGTTCTTCTTCTTCTCACCTTCTCTGAGCCGAGGGTCTATTAGAAACAATCTCTCTACCTTCACTAGGTAGATGTAAGGTCTGCGCACACACTACCCTCCCCAGACCCCACCTGTACTGGGTTTTCTATTGTTGTAATAACACCACAAAGTACCTGGGCACGATGATTAGGAAACGTCACTAAAGTTGCTACTGTTTCATCCCACCACAATCTTGCATATGGCCTACAAATTCAAAAAGGATTTAGTATATATATTGGATATTATCAATTAAAAGGAGATATAAGAACAAAGTATAACAAGCTTCAAAGGAAACATGCATTACCTTTTAGACTTTCCATGTTCAAAATTGAAGGCACAATCAGGAACCTACATTTCACAAGAATGATTCCTATTAGCATGAATGACACGTTATTACGATAAGTTATAAAATTCATCATAATAAAGTCAGTACTTTTTAACAGAACAATAGTAACAAATAGCCTACCATGGGCTTTCCATTTGGTAGCACCTTTGGATCTTCTGTATCACGACGAGCCACATTATCCTTTCCCACAATTACACCAGGGAGGTCCCTGAAGTTCGCTCCCTACAATGGAAATATGTTACAAGGGCAAACATCTAAAAAACTTATTTTCAGTAACATAACAACCGTCAAACCTTTTTATGTGGGACTAGACAAACTCGCAAGTAATCGTCTTCTGCTAGTTGGCAAGGCCGATGATCAGACAAAACAGGATCTTTTGTTTCCGTATCTCTAGTTGATGAACACCCCACTATCTCTGAAGGAGTAAGAAGGAATCATTTCCACATGTAAAGGATAAGCATTCAGCTCATAGACACTAGCATGAATAAATTATGAAACTGAAGTCATTCCAGTAATTTTAAGTATTAGACTAAAAGTTGAGAAACTATATCATGAAATCTACTAACAACAATGGTTATATAGTATTTTTTTTTATACTATCAGAGAAACAAACATCTTGAAGCCAAAGTGTCAGATAAACTGGGAGAGAGGGAACATCAGTTTATTTGTTCGAAGTTTTTGAGTAAGTCTTTTCATGCCAAGTGAAGAGGTCAAAGGATGAAAAAAAAGGCAAGTAGACCATGTACCATCTTATGGTATAATTCGTTGGACGTTCATATATTCTTCATTTTAACAACTGTTAATCAATTCTCTTAGTTTCGGATGACGGTTACTTGAACANAAGTGAAGAGGTCAAAGGATGAAAAAAAGGCAAGTAGACCATGTACCATCTTATTGTATAATTCGTTGGACGTTCATTTATTCTTCATTTAAACTATAACACGTTACATAACAAATATGAGACGCTTTTAACAACTGTTAATCAATTCTCTTAGTTTCAGATGACGGTTACTTGAACATAACTTCTATCATACACCATGAGATATGTGGAATGTGAATCAGGAAGCATTTCAATTTTTCGGGACAAAAGTGTTCTGGATTGTCCTGAAGTTAAGATTTTTAGTTTAAAATTTCAGGACAAAAAAAGTATTGGCTAATCACTAAATAGCATTCCTGAAAATGGCTATCTCTGCACTTGCCCCTCAAATTTCAGCTGAACATTCCTTGAGAAATTTGTAGA